ATAGAGCTCTCAAATCAGGGTGTGAGAAAGGAAAACAAACTCATCTATTACTGGTTGGGAGCAAAGGCAAGGAAAATTCACCAGCACCATAAAAAGCAAACTGGCCCAGACAGAGCTGGCCAGGCTAGGGCTTGACCAAGATAAAAAGAGACTGGCCTGGTAAATCCACAAACACAGTATAGGAAAATAGCAGGGAGAGAGAGAGAGAGATAGCATACAAATAATAGATGAAAAGAAAACAAAATCAAGAGTCAGAAGAAAGTCCTCTGAAAACATTTCACACTACTGAGCAATTTAGTAAGAATATGAATTAAACAAAACAAGAATCAATGACAGGGTGATACAGGAGGCTGCAAAACTAAAACAAAAACTTAACAATATATACATATATATGAAATACAATATTATCATAATTGAGTAACAATTGGTTATCCACTGAGACACGGTTATGGTGTCATCTACCAAATCTCAAATAGTCAGTGGATGATCCACATAACATGAACAGGATATAAAAGGAAAAGATCTAAAAAGACCCTCAGAGATGATTTCATCTAAGAAAATCTCAAATTTCATTGAACACAAGTAATTTACAAGTGATGGTCTAAGTATATAGGCTGAAAAGGAAACCTGAAAAGGCAAAGAAGCAAGAAGAAACAAAAGGCATCGATGACTGGCAGAAGCGCTGTTATACATGCTCCCCATCAGTCCCAGAGTTACTGACACAGGATACTCCCCATCAGTCCTGGAGTACTGATACAGGGTACTCCCCATCAACCTGCAGACACTATTACCAGACATCCTGAGCTGTGATTGGCCATACGCTATGTATAGCTCAAAAGGGTATTCCCAGAATATAAAATGTGCATGGTTTAAAATCACGGTATGGTGGCAACTGGGTAAGTGTATGACTCTTGATTTCAACTCAGGTCATGATCTCACCCCTTGTGAGTTTGAGCCCCTGTTGGGCTCTGTGGTGTAGGGTGGAGCCTGCTTGGAATTCTCTCCCCACCCCTTCTCTCTACCCCTAGCTTGCTTGTGCTCTCTCTCTCATAATAAACAAATAAACATTTTAATTTTTTTACTGTTTAATTATTTTTGAAGGAGAGACAGAGCATGAGCTGGGGAAGAGCAGAGAAAGAGGGAGACACAGAATCCAAAGCAGGCTCTAGGCTCTGAGCTGTCAGCACCCAGGTACCCCAATAAATAAACATTTTAAATAAATAAATCAGTTAATTAATTAAAATCACTGTATGAAATTAGTTACCATTTCAAAGGAAAGGCCAGTTTGCGGGCATTGTGACTGGGGAGCTCAGTCAGTTAGGCATCCAACTTCAGCTCAGGTCATGATCTCACAGCTTCTGGGTTCCCGCATCGGGAACTGTACTGACAGCTCTGACCCTGGAGCCTGCTTCATCATATTCTGGGGGTGATTATTATATACGAAGATTTTCTCTCAGATATATAAAATCCTATAAAGTCATGTTTCCTGGAGGGAGGTGGATTACAGGGAGGTAGTAGGTATCTGCATTTTTGACAACTCCAATGTTGAATGGTGGCACACTACAGTTGAATAATTGTTGTTGATCTCATGGAGTGGAAGGTAAATGAGAGCGGTTTGGGATATGCTGTGTTTGAGAAAGGAATGTCTTGTAGGCAGAATAGAGGTAGTGATTTGGAAGTGAGCCATATGCTGATTGTATTTGAAGCCCTGGGAATAGGGGAAGGAACATTAGGACCATAATCTTTAGCATACAAGCATTAAATGGGAGGTTTGGGAAGGGTAGATAGTAATAGATTCTGGGAGAGGCAGGCAGAGAGGAAGGAGAACAATTTGGGCTCGTACCTGGGAGGCAAGGTTTAGTGACATGAAGACTGAACTTTCCATGCCATTTAATAGCAAGTAGTTCATTAGTGTTCTTGGTGAGGGCGGATGAGTGGGCACAATGGTAACAAAATCTAGATTTGTAGTAAGAGGAGTGGGAGGTAGGGAAGACTGAGTGTTTATGGGTCTTTAAAGAAACTTAGCTGTGAAGGGAAGAAGGGAGGATGATAACTGGGGGCAACACTGGGTAAAGAGAAGTGGGAAAAATTCAGTGTATAGCATAGTGGATATAATAGAGCAGGGATGGGGCACCTGGCTGGCTCTATAGGTAGAGCGTGTCTCCATCGCTCTGCCCCTCCCCTGCTCATGCTCTCGCTCTCTCAAGAAATAAATAAACTTTTTTTAAAAAAAGAATTGACAGGTAAAATATACCCATCACCAAATATTTAGGAATATCACATAACACACTATTTTTTCCATTTGTAGATAAACACAATATGGGAGTTTTTTCTGCTTACTAGTAAATCCATGTTTTCAACTGATGTAAACTGAAGACGAATATTTAATAAATTCTTCAACTGACTCAAAGACACTATAGTCATATGAAGTAAAAGCTTTTTAAGAAATATGTCTATTTCACATATTTATTGCCATTACTTGCATATATCCCATATCATATAGCACCAGACTTTACATGATAAACAGACTTTTTCAATGACTATGCCATTTTAATGATGAGATAGCTAGATTCCAGAAATATAAAATTACTCTGGGTTAACTCAGGTTGGAATATTCTAGGTTATAGTCTATTTATTGTACACTGATATGTAATCAGTAGTTCTATTTAGGAGATGCTGCTAAATCATTTTTTTTCTCTTTTCTACAGGTCCATATGTTTAGAATATTCCCTTATGAACATGATTACTTTTATAATAAAAGCATACACATTTTGGTGTGGAGAGTATTGAAAAAGATGAAGTCAAAATCATGCCCTACAACATTTCAAGTTTCAATTTATCTATAACGAATTTGGAACATGCCACGAAATTTAACATGGACTAGACCCAGAACTAAACACGTGACAAATGGCCTTGCAACGCATTCAATTAAATTACAACAAATCTCTAAATATGAGCAAACATTTGGAGCAATTATCTCCTACCGTGTAGCCAGAATGAGACTGCAGGCAGCCCAAAGCAGAGCACTCTTCAATTGCCTATCCCCTGCCTCCTCTAGTCCACATACACACACTCAAATCACCACTGCTTGCCTCTTCTGTCAGTTCTAATTTTTTTTAATTTATTTATTTATGAGAGATAGAGACAGCATGAGTGGGGGAGAAGCAGACAGAGAGGGAGACACAGAATCTGAAGCAGGCTCCAGGCTCCAAGCTGTCAGCACAGAGCCCAATGCAGGACTCAAACTCAGAAACTGGGAGATCATGACCTGGGCTGACACTGGATGCTCAACCGACTGAGCCACAGAGATGCCCCTCCTCTTCTGTCAGTTCTAAAGCAGCACCCCAGGAAGACTCTAGGAGAGAACGTGAAGGCAAAAGCAAGATGGACATTTACAGTGTGTTGGCCACCCAGCACCTATTGGGCCCTCTTCTGTTAATGTTATAAACATGGGTTAAAGGTGACCCGTATATAATGGCCCCTTGTTGTTTAGTTCCTCACAGCAGTCTGGCCATGAATATGCACTCAAAGCCCTTAGATGCCAAACTCTAATTATTACACCTTCAGTTGCTTTAATTATAGCCCAAATAAGCATATTCTTAGCTATTTATAGCGTGACTGCATTGCATACACTGCAAAAATGAACCCAACATTTACTAGCCATAGATAACACAAATCCTGGAGCTATAGAAGTTACTGTTGCCCTCCAAAGCTTTCTGATCAATTCTGATCATCTTGCATCTGAGCAGTGTCACCTAGACATACAAGCCCAACTCAGATTTCCCTCTCCCCAAGGAGTGTCCTTGCCTGCTTCCCTTTATAGGTGGTGGTCCCCTGCCATGGGCTCTGGAAAATCTCCTGCTGTGAAGGACTTCCCCTCGAATGCAGTCTTGTCAAAGCACCACCCAAATAAAATTCACTGTGGGTTACTGACATCTCATAGTCATGCCTTTCCCTTGATCAACTCCAAAATCCTCAAACTCACCACAGTTGATTATTTACCTGTATTCCCCCAAAGGTCCACCCATCTCCACACTTAGTCTTAGTGGTTAATAGGAGAACTGGCCCTACCCCTCCCATACTCAACTCAGACCCAGTCTTAACGGCATTCCTTTAGTGACAGCAATTGGTTCAGAGATGGTCCAACCAGAGCCACAGAGTTGGAAAGAGACTTTTGCTGAGCCTTCTGGAAGAAAGGCAGACACTTTTCACATGAACTAGAAACTAAGAAGATTTAGAGCTGTGGTAGCCATCTTGTAACCAGGAGGAAATAGCCTGTCCAAGAAGCAAAAGATGAAAAGAGAGAAACCAGATCCAATCACATTGGAGGCCCAAATGGTGATGGCCAGTAAATTTCTTATTCCTGCATGAGCCTACTGTCAATTGCAGTCAAAAGAATCCTCAGTATCAGGGCACCTGGCTGGCTCAATCAGTAGAGCATGTGACTTCTGATCTCAGGGTTAGGAGTATGAGCCCCACCATGGGTGTACAGATTACTTAAAAACAAAATCTTAAAAAGGGAGGGGGGCGCCTGGGTGGCTCAGTCAGTTGAGTGTCTGACTTTCGCTCAGGTCATGATCTCACGGTTCGTGGGTTCGAGCCCCATGTCGAGCTCTGTGCTGACGGCTGGCTCAGAGCCTGGAGCCTGCTTCGGATTCTATGTCTCCCTCTCTCTCTGACCCTCCCATGCTCAAGCTGTCTCTCTCTCTCTTTCAGAAATAAATAAAAAAACATTAAAAAAAAAAAAAAAAAAGAAAAGGATCCTTAGTTACACCAAAGGCAAGGCTGGAAAGTGAAAAGAAGCACACCCAATGGAAAAGCAAAATAGTGGTGTATACAGAAATTGAGTGGTATTGGTTTTTTTATGGTAACATTTCTTTAGATTTTAAGTTGTCCCGGTAAGCTCAAAATATAAATATCCCTATGAAAATCAAAAATTCATAATCAAGAAAAATAATCTTAAAAATTATCAAGATTAGCGAGCCTAATCTGTCTCGCTCTCGCAAGCGCCATGTCGGGTTCCTCCAGCGTCGCCGCAATGAAGAAAGTGGTTCAACAGCTCCGGCTGGAAGCCGGGCTCAACCGCGTGAAGGTTTCCCAGGCAGCTGAAGATTTGAAACAATTCTGTCTGCAGAATGCTCAACATCACCCCCTGCTGACTGGAGTATCTTCAAGTACAAATCCCTTCAGACCCCAGAAAGTCTGTTCCTTTTTGTAGTAAAAGGAATCTTTGAATGGTTTTCTAAGCCATTTTTCATGAACCAGTGCATATTCAAAGGAGAACTAAATTTAGACCCTGTATGAAAGCTTATCCCTGTAACACGTGCCATAATATATAAATTTCTACTTTTGTCAGTCCTTAACATCTACCTCTCTGAATTTTCATAAACTTCTATTTCCCATGGGTAATTATTTTATATACACTGGCAGCCACATACAATAAAATACTTAATGTAAACAAAAAAAAAATTAGAGTAGCCTATAGGTAACAATATTGTATTATACACCTTAAAATCTGGTACGAGATACAAATATCAAAGCATTATGTTATACATAAGAAACTAACATAATGTTGTATTTCAACTGTACCTCAATTTACAAATCTGCTAAATGGATAGATTTCACATTAGTTGTTCTTACCACAGTAAAATTATAGATAGACTGATAGGTAGGTAGGTAGATAAATAGATGAAAGAAAGAAAGAAAGAAAGAAAGAAAGAAAGAAAGAAAGAAAGAAAGAAAGAAAGAAAGAAAGAAAGAAAGAAAGAAAAATAGAGTAAAGAAGCAAAAAAATAATGTCAGAGAAGGGTAAAACTTGAAGAAAGAACCAGATGGTGCTGATATTCTCTACTGAAGTATTAAAAACCTCTTTTCCCATAAACCACAAATTCATTATGAAGAGAAGACAATAATTCAATATGACTATAAAGCACCAATTATATGATAAAAAATAAAATTTTAAAGAACTGGCCCATCATAATCCAAACAGCATAATTTTTCAAATAAAAATGTATTCAAGTTAATTTTTTCAACAAAATATTGTGGAAGGCATTTTGCTCATCAGATCAAGATTCCATCCTACCTCCTCAAAGACTTCTCCCTCCTTATAAAACCTTTTCACCTCCAGCTGTGGCTGTATCTTTCTCTTACATCTTTCTTCCCTCTTCACAGAATAGCTTTCCTTTGTGATAACCATTTCTTTTCTATGAAGTCCTCATTCTGAGGCAACTGGACCAGTGCTCCCATCCTTTTGTTAAAACTGTTCTCCCAAAGATCACCAGTGACCTCCAAGCAGCTAAACCCAGTATTTTCTTTTCAACACTCCAGCTGCTTAGCGTCTGACTCTCCTGACTCCTATCTCCTGAAACTCTCTTCCCTCTCCTTTCACGACCTGCTGTGACTCTCCATTTATATCTTAATCTCTTTTGTTACTTCATCTCCTATCCCTACCTTTAAATTTGTCATTCTTAATAAACATGGTCATATTATGTTTCTATCTATCCATCTCTAGAGTACTATATCCTCCATTAAAATCAACTGGCAGCAAGGGGCACCTGGGTGTCTCAGTTGGTTAAGCGTCCAACTTTTGGTTTCAGCTCAGGTTATGATCTCACGGTTCATGAGTTCAAGCCCCACATTGGGTTCTGTGCAGATAGCACACAGCCTGCTTGGTATTCTCTCTCTCCTCTCTCTGCCCCTCCCCTGCTCATTCTCTCTCTCTCTCTCTCTCTCTCTCTCTCTCAAAAGAACATTAAAAATTTTTTTTAAATCAGCTAGTAGCAAAAGAAGATAATTTTGCCTTACTGAAAGCTTTAAACTATAAGTAAGAAAGTCCATTTAGTAGCATGAAAATGCCAAGGTTTTTTAAAGCAAAGTAATTTTTAAGTGCTCCAAAGTCTGAAAATTAATCTTCTCAAGATGAATACACTATCCCAGAGGGAATCTGAATGGCTCAGCCTATGAGCAATGAAAGCTTTATACTGAAAACTATAAAACTGTTCATTTATAGGAAACTGGGGTTAGTGACCTCCAGATTACAGTGGATAAAAATGAAGAGCTGAAATAAAAGAGGTAACAGCATATTCCCTCACCTTTAGGTACTACCCTCCCCAGACACAAACACATACATGCACACATATTTCTTCAGCCTGAGGTAGCTGCTCAAGGCTTCAGTATAACTTCAGACATACCCATCTCTATTACAGCTTACCTCATTACATCATAGCTAATTCTTAGTCTTTATTGTACCCAACATTGTGAGCTGTCTAAAAACTTAAACTGTCTTTTATTTATCTTTCTACTCTAAAAAACTAGTACAGTGCCTGGGTACTCAAAAGACTCCCAGTAAATGTGCATTGGATGGATGGAAGGATAGATGGATTAATGAATGGATGGAGAAAGAAAGATGATGCAGGGAAGAATTCATACCAGACTTGCTCCAGCCCCTGAAAGTTTCCATACATCTCCAATAAACCAACTATTTCTTCCCAATGTCCCTTTCATATACTTGAAAGAGTTATATACATTATAAGGTTTGTCAACTTGTCCCAGCCCTACAAGACCAATTTGTGGTAACTGAGAAAGTAAACTAACTACAGGCCCCCAAATCATATTATGAGTAAAGGAAGTTTTAGCTCAAATATCTTGATGGTAGCAAGATACATTACATAAACTAGATAAAGTATCTTATTTTACCAAGCTAAGTATTTGCAGTTGTTGGCCTCAAAATAGTAACATTCTTTCTTCACTCTACCATTGGGGTTCTGTCAGTCAGTATTAATGCTGTCCTTTTCCAAATACTACTCTGAATTGGCAAGCTTATCTTAACTAGGTTTAAAATACCATATCCACAACCATTGGAAGCCGTAGTGACATAATGAAACAACAGTAGAGGAAAACCTGGCAGGGATATCCTTTATTCCTTTATTCAAAAAGAAGTAGAGTTCAAATTACCAAATCAAATAAATTCCATCAATTTTAATAACACATTTTTAGATCAATTCAAATCCATCTTTTCAAAATTGATTTAATATATTTCCAAACTATAATTTGATTGTCCATGCTTATGCCACTCACTAAATTTTGCAAGCACTGGGGTGCCTGGGTGGCTCAGTCAGTTAAGCGACGACTTCAGCTCAGGTCATGATCTCACAGTTCATGGGTTCAAGCCCCGAGTCGGGCTCTGTGCTGACAGCTAGCTCAGAGCCTGGAGCCTGTTTCAGAGTCTGCGTCTACCTCTCTCTCTGACCCTCCCCTGCTCATGCTGTCTCTCTCTCTCCGTCTCTCTCAGAAATAAATAAAACATTAAAAAAAATAAATTTTGCAAGCATTAATTTGTCAATATTATAAAAGGCAAAGATAAACTACCATTTTTATAAAAACCCAAAGTCATTCCTTCAAAACAGCAGTTCATATTTAGAGAAATGACAAAATTTTTTTTAACTCCCAACACATCTCCTACATCCTTTTGTAAAAAAAGAAAAAGTACAATATGGAAAGAATTTTAACTTAAATTTTGGAATGGTAGGTAGTAGTCTGAACAACGGAAGATATTAAGCATATATTCTTCAACTAGTTGATAAAACTATATTTCCTATTTCTTTACCATTATTTTTCTCATTAATAGATATTACACGTAACTTGGGGTAAAGCCAAACCTTACTGCATCAAATGAATGTGCCTTTGAGTTTTTGCAAATGTATAAAAGGTGTTTTTGAAAGATTTTCTTAATGAACAAACAAAAAAAGGTTAAAGAAAAACAGTAATGACTCTTTTGCTAATTTCAAATCATATATTAGCCTCCCATATATAACCTCTCTGATTAGTGGGGCAGAGGGAGGACTTTTCTTAGAAACCAAAGCACCAACCCAAAAAAATCAAATTGAAAAAGTACCTGAACCGTAAGTTACTCAGTATGTTTTCATAATTTAGAGAGAATCAAAGTTATGCACTAACTTCAGCCAAACCAAAATACACCCTTTCTCATAGGAAAGCTTTTTTCTGATTTAGGAAGGTTAATTTACTGACAGTCCAGACAAGGAAGCAGTTTAGTATGGTTAACACCACGAGATTCTGGAAGTACAGTCTGAGTTAGAATCTCTCCTCTACCACTTGCTTAGTATATCTTAACTTACTCAACCTGTAAAGTACTTAGAACAGTGTCTGGTATAGAATAGTACTCGGTAGATCCAGGGCAGCAACATATCTCTAGACTGAGACTTGGCAACAATGAAGAAAGTATCAGAAATTCAATCTCTCGTGTCCAATTACAGACTTACAGAGTTAGAACCTGCATTTCTATCAAGGTCCCACTGTGATTCAAATGCAACTTAAAGTTCAAGAAATGCAGTTAGAAAGCATTTTTAATTTATATTCTAAGATATTAGTTATTATAATTTTTAAAAAACTATTCCATTCCGTTTCTGCAACATGAAGAAGTTACATTTATTTGTTTAATGTTTTGGGTTTGGTTTTGTTTTTTGTTTTGTTTTGTTTTTTTTTTGAGAGAGAGAGAGAGAGAGAGAGAGAGCAAGACAGGGAGGGGCAGAGAGAGAGAAAGAGAGAAATCCCAAGCAGGCTCAGTGTTAAAGGCACAGAGCCTGCTATGGGGCTTGAGCTCACAAACTGTGAGATGATGACCTTAGCCAAAACCAAGACTCGGACACCTAACTGAGTCACCCAGGTGCCCCAGAAGTTACATTTATTTTTAATAAAAGGCAAAGTATTATTTGAGCTCAAAATTCCTGCATTGGTGACCTCTTACCATACTTTAGTTAAATGAGGAACCAACTAAAGTCCAAGGTTGCCATCTAGTGGTAGTTCAATCTGGTGTACATGTAAAATAAACTTCCTGCCTTCCTGTACCTTAAAAACACATTTGTTTAAAATGGGGCCAGGGTTTCTTCTTGCCTAATTCCTTTCTTAAGGACTACTGACGTGATTCCACAACTAAATCCCATAAGAAGGCATCTTAAATACAAAGGAAGATAAAAGACAAAAAAGTTTTTAAGTTTCCTTTTTTAAATTCAGATCAAGTCTAGGGAGGTTTTCAACTTAAAAGACTGACCCACTCAACCCCGGAAAAGTGCACATTTGGCACACACAGTGATGACAAGCTTAGAAAATGGGCTTCATTTTGAAATGTGCATACCTTGGAGTCACTGTCACTTTCTTCCTTTTAGGTTCTGTACTTTTTACAATTTATTTATATCATATGTGCCAGGGGAATTTTCAGACTGAGAAAAAAAACTGTATAACCTTCTGACTCAATATCTCCACTTCCACATTCTATCCTAAGGAAATAATGAGAAATGTGGACAAAGAGTTATGTACAAAGTTGTACATTTCGGCAAACCATCTTAACAACTTCATAATTACCCACTAAATTTATGCATCAGAACTTATCTAGTCATTCTCCTCTATTATTCATTTAGATCAGTTATAATTTATATGTATATATATATATATATTCATACACACACATACACACACACAAAAGGAATGAAGGGAAGACAAAAAGAGGAGAGAAATAAATGATATGATTTTTCTATTTTCTATACTTTGGATCTTTTCCCAATATACATCCCCACAAGTCACGTATCAGCATCCAAGAATATTTTTGTGGTTCTCAATAGCCAACCTGCTTAAGAGTGTTGTGTCATTTTATATGGCCCTGAACAACATAGGACACACAGACTGTACTACCACCTCCCTAACATCAGATTTTACCCCATGGCCAATTTTTTTTTAATAGTGCTTGAGATATATTTTATATACTACCTCTTTAAAGTATACACCTCAAGTAACCAATGTATCTACAGAACTATACAACCATCAGCATAATCTCACTTTGGAATATCTGCATCATTCCAAAAAGAAATCTTGTACGCATTAGTAGTAACCCCCATTACCCCTGCCAACCTCCCAGTAAGGCTAATTGTTACTACTTTACCAATCCCACTACTTTTTTCATATTTTCTTGTAGATGCCTCAGTGATATTGCATAAGTGTTTCAAGCCCATCAAATGGAATATCTACTTCTGCTATTCAGACATTTCTCTGTTTCAAATTGTGAAATGTTCTGCTTAACCATACAAAGGTAAAGCATGTCAGAATATCCTCTTGTTTTTTTCAAAAGGTGCTTTTTAAGTGTAAGGCATAATTTAAGAACTAAGAGAGGTATCATATAAGCACAAAGTCATCCATTCTTTTCTAAACTAGTAGCAACAATCATTACTTTGGAACACCATTATCCAGCAAAAATGTCACACAAAAGCAAGGAATCCCTGTTTACCCATTTAAAACTTTATTTTAATTGGGTTAACTCGGTCTGATTAAAAAAGAAATACAGTATAACTGACATAACATTTGATATGTGGTCTAAACAATTGTCTTGATGTTACCAAAAAACTTAAAATTTACTTTCATTTAGCCAAAGCACTTTTTTCTCATATCATAATTTTTTGGACCCCAGATGCAGAGAATTTAGCACTTTGCTTTATGAAGATTTAGCAAGAGGAAAAGAATTGAAACAATTTATTAAACAATAGAGACCTAGGTCCCCTGATCGTGTCAGACATTTTGTTTTAAGAACAGTGAAAATCAGTTCTAACAGCTGAGGTGAGAAAGGGATACTTCACTGATAAAAGTTAGTTTCTTATCAAATTTTAGCTTTTTCTCTCCTCTCTTCACCCAACTCTGGACATCTCCTATCTTCCTTAAATAATCCAAACATTCCTATTCCTCAAGTTAAGCAATTCCGCAATCCAGCCAAAGGTTTTGTTTCATATCACTTCATGCAAAACACTTACTGGTACATCACCACCTAAAATATTCCTGTTAATTGATATGCTCAAATTCATTCTTCCTCACCTTTACTCATATGTATGAAAGAACTGAGTTCACACAAATGAAGGAAACTTCCAAAATCAAGTTGTTTTTTTTCACATCACTAAGGAAAGATCTAACATAGGTAGCCTACTTTTTAATACAATGATTAAACAATAAATTCATAAAAATATGAGCCCAGAAAGAGCTAAAATATTATGATATCCCTAGTTCATGTTCCAAGGTGCCACACATACATACACACACAAAACCACACAGGTAAGTGTCACTACCTGGCTTCCTGTCCTCACTCCAGCACCAGCAGCTTCTCTATGACCCTGTCACAGTGAAGTGAGAGGAGCTAGGTTGTAAATGAACCCCCACCACACAATGCCAACAATAACAGTGTGCCCAAGCAAGCACCAAGCCCTAGTAACTCAGGCAGCTCTGGGATTAAGGTGGGCGGGCTACATGTAGCTCCATGCTACTTAGAAAATGATACCCCCAAGGTGGGAGGAACCCAACCTCACTGGTAAATGCAATGCCTTTGTGAAATTTAAAAAGGCACCCCTCCTCTGGAGAGGTTTATTCCTGGCCAAGGCACATGGCTAATGACCAGGGTCGGGTCTACATTTCAGTCTCTGCTTAACCCCAGTCCAGGTGCCCTCGTGCCGAAACCACCTGCACAACTGTGAGGCATGGAGAGGGTACTTTCTGCAGCTTCACCCTGCCTATCACAGGTAGGAGAGGGACTCTATCAGTGAGATCAACCCCTTCCCCCAGTGAGAGAGGCAGTCATACAGTTTACCCAAAAAGCCTCAATTTCAGTCAGCTCATGTTATAAAGACAAAATCTGATGAAAAGATACTTTTAGAAATATCTCTGTAGGCCACATAAAAGTGATTATATGAAAATCAAACACAACTGATGTTTAACGTTTTCTTTTTTCATTATTTTGCTTGAATATAGGAGTTTCAATACAATATGTTTAACTCTGAGATTCATACCTTGTGATCTTCCATTTTTATATGGCCAAGAATCCAAAATCTGGTATTTGCAATAGCATACTCAAGTTTAATGTAAATTACCTTTCACACCACCAAATGATCCATAAGTCATATTGCAGGCTGTTCTCTGAAGATTATGTTCATACATCAATTTGATCTGATATTGGTTCCCATGTTCCACATTACCTAAGGTTCCTAAGCAGGAAAAAATTAAAGAATTGCTTTGTATTTATTTACATTAAAAATATTAATTTCCTGTCATCCTCTACACCATTTCTAAGTAATTCAGTTTCAGTGAAACTTAAAATGATAAAGCACTAAAACAGTATGTATTACAATTAGCACACTGTTGATATAGAATGCCAGCATAGTTAAAACAATTTAAGTCTTGGCTAGATTACACCATTAGATGAAATACTACAGTGAATGACATTTATTATCTATTTCCATTTTATCTGAGTAAAGTGTAATTATTTAAATAAAAACAAAACCACCCAATTTCAGTTCTGAAATAAATGAGGCTAAGTTCCTTATACTTAAACAATAATAGAGCAAAGGCATGATTCAAAATGTCTTAGAAAAAACTCCCCACACTTTCAAGCAATTCAGTTTCCTGTCCCAACTCTCAAAATACTCAAGCCCCTAATACAGTATATTTTAATTTAATGAAGAGATATTCTAAAAGTTTCCCTTAGCAAGTAAATAATATGTTTTATTTGAGGTCTGCGAAGAATCTCCTTCAAATCAAAGAAAAATACTTTCTCTGCATTTAATAAATTATATGTGCTATATTCATTTTCTCTTTCTTTCCAAGTTTGAAAAAATTCTTTATCCATATTTTACTCTTTGGTTGTTAGGCTTTCAAGAGTACTTATGGTTGGAGCTATACCCCAGTAATCAGGCAAGAACATTATTGTTAAAGAGGTGATAGAAATAAAAAGGATTCAGAATGCAACTTTTTCCAGTAAGAAGCATTTTTGTCTTTCAAAGATGGAAAATCTAAGTTAAAATTTTAAATACAAAGCAAATGAAATAGCCCCCAAACAATCTAAGGATATGTTTGTCTGTATGTATGTACATACATATTTACACATGAGCATTTGTTTGTTCTTTGCCCAAAAGTAATTACCAATGTATATGGAGGTTATAAGAACCCAAATATTTCTACTTCCATTTTAGAGATCAGGCACACTAAGTTCAAAAAAAGTTTGAGAAATTACCCTGCAAATCACATAGCTGATAAAGGACAAAGTACTCAAACTAGGTCTTTATTAGAGTTAGCACTATATATCCTGGTACCTAGTTGTCCATCATTTCACAACTTTCAAAAAACTTGGTAAGCTAATGACAATTTCCCTAAACAAACCAGCCATCAAAAACATCATTTCCACCTCCACCTTTCTCAAACTGGCTTTTTCTTTATTTGGAAGGTGAAAGGTTGAAAGAGAAAACGAAAAGGGGACAATTTCTTGTAGGAAAATCACTTCTACTCAGATCTATGTCCCTGAGAATGGTAACAACAGACTTAACAAACCAACAGAATAAAAAACAAAGAAAAAGACTCAAATTTGCCAGCTAACCCTGACAGGAAACGAAAGCTTGGTGGAATCTAAATGGTAGCAAAATCGGTAAAGTCCAAGGAAACTGAGGGGCAACCACAACCACATGGGCCAAAGGAAAAGAAACACGCACACTAAATAACTCACAGCCCTAACCTAAGGAGAAGTTTAGCCTCCAAGAAACCAGAAAAAAGTTCCAAGAAACATTTGGTTTGTCTCTACAAAAATTACAAATTTCATCCTGTACCTAAAACCAAATCAAGCCCTCTGAGTAAGGAATGCACTTACTCACACCTACTAGCTGAAAGGTAAATGAACACAGGGGTCAGCACTCAATACTTACACAAACTTGGCATGAAATGACACTGGGATTTGTGTTCTGAAAAAGTTGCAAAGGCACTGATAATTTTCAATTTTCAGGTAATAGCACTCTCAAAATTAATAGGGCAACTATGGAGAACAAAAGACAATTTATCTTCCTTAGATACTACTTTAGAATAAAGGTAGTATCTGAAAAAAAATGAAATTTCTAACCACTTTTTTCTAGAGAAACATCAATGATACAAAATTAAAATAACTTACACAGGCTTTGTTCTGGGATATACAGACTGAGTATAGTACCTATAAATATAGTCTACTTATACCTAAAATTAATATAAAGTTTCAGAAATTAGAAAGTAAATGGAGAGGCGCCTGGGAGGCTCAGTCGGTTAAACGTCTGACTTCGGCTTAGGTCATGATCTCGTGATTCATGAGTTTGAGCCCCGCATTAAGCTCTGTGCGGACAGCTCAGAGCCTGGAGCCTGCTTCAGATTCTGTGTCTCCCTCTCTCTCTCTGCCCCTCCCCACCTCATGCTCTGTCTCTCACTGTCTCAAAAATAAAACGTTAAAAAAAATTAGAAAAAAAATAAAATAAATGATTATTAGAACACTGATGCGGTTGGCCTTACTTAAGATTTAATTTAAACAAAAAAATTCTCTGAAAAAATCAAAAGCCACCGAAAACAGTTTTCAGTGTAATTTTAGATAACTGCTGAGGAATCTAATGAAGTTAAATGAAAGAAAAGCTATTACAGAGAAAATTAAAAGGTTCACTGTGTTAAATAATCAAGTTAGATTACAGAAGCCTATCAAAAGTGAAGAACCACATCTTTTTGTCCACTCACAGCAAACATCAAAATTCTATAAATATGTCAAATGCTTAGCAAATACTTGTTGAGAAGTACAGAATATTTGGGGGCACCTGGGTGGCTCAGTTGGTTGAGTGTCCAACTTTGGCTCTGGTCATGATCTCGTGGTTCACAGTTCAAGCCCCATGTCAGGCTCTGTGCTGACAGTTCAGAGCCTAGAGCCTGCTTCGGATTCTCTGTCTCCCTCTCTCTTTGTCCCGCTCATGCTCTCTCTCTCAAAAATAATTAAACGTTAAAAAAAAATATTTTTAAAGAAGTACACAATATTTGGAAAAGAATATTTAAGAGGACATCATCAGGATGGCTTATGCTCACACATCTGCAACCATTTACTCAGAAACTGAAGCCCATCAGGAAGGAATCTGAGATGCCATGTGATCCTGTTTCTTTACCAAAGTACGATAAGATGGACTAACTTCAGCTCAGCAAGACCTTGCTATTTCTCCACATTTAGCGTGCACTTATTGACATATCACCCTCCAGAAAGAAGTCAGCACAGCAGCCTCTGACCATGAAGGGTGGTTTGGTGTATCCAGAAGGTCTCCTCTAGTTTGCCTCAAATCTGTTTTAAAAGCACATAGCATATGAAAGGAAACAAGAAATATGTGGGAAGGGGGCAGGTAGGAGTGAGCATGTCAAGTTCAGCTAACACTTTCATCTGTTGACACCAGTGGTTTTACTTAAACTAAAAAATGTTTATGCTTCCCCCGTTACAGTAAAAGCTAAGTAAAAGTTCAGTCTGGAACTTCAAGAATCATATTCAAGAGAACAAAAAACATTAACTTTCCTGCTTCTCAATTTAAGCCAAACCAGAGGAAATATACAAATTGTCAGCCTCTGAAAATCTTAAGAGACCAAGATGAGAGACAGAAAAGGGAAGTGAGATGGGGCATAAGGGAATGTAGTTTGGAGAAATCCTTGTCCCCAGGGTATACGATGCTTGTAAACAAATACAAAGAACAAAAGAGTGATAAAAATCATATTCCCATGACAAATAAGTTTCATTTTCAACACTAATTTGAAGGAAAATACCAATGTCTCATACAACGTGCCAGTTTCTTTCAGCAGGTCTTCTTGATGAATACGCATTTTATCACTAATCTATGCCCTACACCCCAGGGAAACTCTAGAGCTTCCATCTTTCTGGGCCACCATTCAAATGGGACCAGAGAAGACCAAGAGTCTTAACTAATTTCTAGTTTATAGGATCCTTACCTCTCCTCCCTCTTAGAGCCTCCAGAAGGGACCAATTCTCTAGGAAGTATTCAGGGATAACTGCACACAAGTTCCCCCCTCATGTCCTGTGTAATCCAGTTAATAGTATCACCTCACAGTTAACAGAGAAACAACTAGAGTCACATAATAAAGTAGCTTATATCACATCTTCTCTATTTACTCAGGAAAACTAAATATTTGCCCTATCACTAGGAAGAGCAAAATCTTTCACCATGAAACCAATGGGAGTGGTTTACCAATGACACAGAGAAATACTATATTTTTGATGTAAACAAAAAAGTGGAAAAGAAAATGATAGTGGTAACAGAGGGAAAAAGAAAAAAAGGAAGAAAAAAAAAAAAAACCAGAGTAATCTGTTACCTATTATCTCAGCCCCACCCAGAAATTAGTTCACTCGTGCAATCAACATATGCCTACCATACACCATAGGCCAGGTTACCAAGCTTGCCTTAGAAAGCTAACAGACCTTCACCTCCAAAAAGAGACTGCTTAAGAATATACAGCTCAGCAATCTCTATCAAAATACCACCAGCATTTTTCACAGAGCTATAACAATCCTAAAATTTGTTTGGACCACAAAAGACCCCAAATAGCCAAAGCAATACTGAAAAAGAAAAAACTGGAGGCATCACAATTCTGAATTTTAAGCTATATTACAAAGCTGTAGTCATCAACACAGTATGGTACTGTTTTGTGCCACAAAAACAGACACATAGATCAATGGAACAGAATAGAACACCCAGAAATTAACCCACAACTATATAGTCAACTATTCTTCAACAAAGCAGGAAAGAATATCCAATGGAAAAAAGATAGCCTCTTCAACAAATGGTGTTGGAAAGACTGGAGAGCAACATGCTGAACAATGAAACTGAACCACTTCCTTACACCACACATAAAAATAAATTCAAAATGGATGAAAAACCTAAATATGAAACAGGAAATCACCTAGAGGAGAACATAGGCAGCAATCTCTTTGACCTTGGCCGTAGCAACTTCTTATTAGACATGTCACCGAAAGGAAAGGGAACAAAAGCAAACATGAACTATTAGGACTTAAGATAAAAGCAAGGGAAACAAAAGCAAACATGAACTATTAGGACCTCATCAACATAAAAAGCTTCTGCCCGGTGAAGGAAACAATCAGCAAAACTAAAAGGCAGCCTACAGAATGGGAGAAGATATTTGCAAATTACATAAACATATCTGATAAAGGATATATAAATATATATATAAGGTATATATATATATATATGTATATATAAAGGATTTTATAAAGAACTTGTCAAAATCAACACCCAAAAAACAAATAATCCAGTTTAGAAATAGGCAGAACAGATGAATAGACACTTTCCCAAAGAAGACATCCAGATGGCTAACAGACACGTGAAAAGTTGCTCAATATCACTCATCATCAGGGAAATGCAAATCAAACCCACAATGAGATACTACCTCACACCTGTCAGAATGGCTAAAATTTACAATACACAAAACAACAGGTGTAGCAAGGATGAGGAGAAAGGGGAACCCTCTTGCACTGCTGGTGGCAATGTAAACTGGTGCAGCCACTCTAGAGAACAGTATGGAGGTTCCTCAAGAAATTAAAAATAGAACCACCCTATGAACCAGCAATTACACTACCAGGTATTTATCCAAAGGACACAAAAATAGATTCGAAGGGACACATGCACCCCAAAGTTTCTAGCAGTGCTATCAACAATAGCCAAACTATGGAGACAACCCAAATGTGATCAACTGATAAATGGATAAAGAAGATATGGTATGTATGTATGTACGTACACACACACACACACAATGGAATATTACTCAGCCATCAAAAAGAATGAAATCTTGCCATTTGCAACCACATGGACGGAGCTAGAATGTCTTATGCTAAGCAAAATAAGTCAGAGAAAGACAAATACCATATGATTTTACTCATATGTGGAATTTAAGAAATAAAACAAAGGAGCATATGGGAGTGGGGGGAGACAAGACAGGGAAACAATCTACAAGAGACTCTTATTAATGATAGAGAACAAACTATGGGTTGACAGAGGGAAATGGGCTAGATGGGTGGTGAGCACTAAGGGGGACACTTGTTGTGATGAGCACTGGGTATTTTATGTAAGTAACGAATCACTGAATTCTACTCCTAAAACCAAAAAATAATAATAATAACCCAGCAAAAAAAAAAAAGGAATATCCAGCTCAGTGACAGTAAATGTGAATCATCACTCAAATTGAAAGCCAAATACAAAAAGCTCAAGAGAATGAGTATGAAAAATCCAAATCCTAATGTTAATATTTACAGCAGACTCCAAAGAACACCTCTTGTATAAGGAATAGACCCACAGAGACTTAGCTTTATTGTGCCAATAAAAGATTTCCCCAATATTGATATCCATTAAAATAACTCAGCTTGAACTAAAATTTATCAAATAACTAAAACAAAATTTTAAGTTACCTTTTCTATTTAATAACGACCAAAATGCTGAAACCAAACTATAATTAACTACCATACTTGTACCCACAGAAAAAATATTAGAGAATGAAACCTCATTAAGCCTCAAATAAGTGCCTTCAGGTCAGGTTGAGTAAAAACAACCAAAAGCCAAGAAATTTAAAGTTTAAAGAGAAAACACTTGAAGTTCACCAAATAAAAGGTAATTTAAACCATTATGACTCAGCATCTAATGAAGTTTGTTGTTGCTACTAAAAATTTCTCAAGATTCTAGTGTCCTAGATAAAAGGTACAGCATAAGGAATACAGTCAATAGTATTGTAACAGCATTGTATGGTGACAAGTGGTGGCTACCCTGTGGTGAGCAGAGCGTAACATATAGAGAAGTGAAATCACTGTTTTACACCTGAAACTGATGTAACATTGTGTGCCAACTATACTTAAATTTTATAAAATAAACAAGGGGCACCCAGGTGGTTCAATAGGTTAAGCATCCAACTTTGGCTCAGATCATGAGTTCAAGCCCCACATCAGTCTCTGTGCTAACAGCTCAGAGCCTGGAGCCTGCTTCAGATTCTGTGTCTCCCTCTCTTTGCCCCTCCCCTGCTCATGCTGTCTTTCTCTGTGTCCAAAATAAATAAACATAAAAAATTTTTAAAATAAAAAATAAAAATAAAAAAATAAACAAAAGTCTTTTAAAACACTCATGAGTCCTAAGTATACAGAATTGGCCCCTGTAGTCACAGGCAATCCTAGACACAATTCCTGGGAAGGGAGATTATAAGGAACCTTCTACTAAAAATTTAAAAATACATAATAATAGCAAACAAAAAAAAAAGTAACAGCCTAAGTATCTGAAAAAAGAAATGAACAAGGGAAAATGTTAACCAAGATAAGAAAATCTTCAACCAAATGTTTTGTGTTCTCTAACAAGTGAACATAAGCAAGCATCTACTCTTATAGCATATTAAGAAGCCACTTTTACTACAAATTCTACATTAGAAAAAAATGTTTCTTACCTGAGACAGAATAGACACAAAGTTTTCTAGAATGCAACACAGCCAAATGAAGCATTTCAGTACCTCTGAAAAATGGGAAAAGTTTTAAAAGTTTAAATGTTAACTTCAGATGTAACCAAAAAAATGACAAAATATTTTAAGAGATTATAACCACAGCCTACAATCAGTTAACTAAAAATTTACTACATAATATTCGAAACTGAAAAATAAATGTAACAACAAACACCACTTTGACAATCCCAGAGGCTCAAGGACTCTGCCTCAAGGAACTTCCTTCAGTTGAGGCCAGTAGAGCCTCCCAGAAAAAGTTGAATCAGATGTCCCTTCATGAGTGCTCTCTCATAATACAGAGACCCAAGTTCTGGTCCTGTCTCTTTGGCTAATTAACCTTGGGCAAGTAAGTTAATCTTTCTGAACCTGTTTCTCATCCTGGAAAATAAGAGGTTTCAATTAAATGAAATAAAATCACCTTAAAAAGTATAAAGCACCACAGAATGCTAATCATTATTAGTAAATGGCATACGTCACTTCCAGCTCATTTTGAACTAAACTTCCACTGTCACCAGTATACTTCTCAGCCCCTATCAACTGATTTCCAAGACATAATATAGTCTAGAAATCCTAAATCCAGTCTTCAAGGTTCAGGTCAGTGGATGGAAATGAGTGAAGAGTGTAAATGGCTGTGGTCTGCTGCAGAGTGGAGCCAGACTAAAGGAAGCAACCACCACTCAGTTCTAGGCTTGTGGCCAAATTTCCACTTTTTTTTTCTTTTTTTCCAAGAAAAACAAGAGAGCAGAGATTTTATGTGAAATCCCCTGGTTCTTAAATATTAGCAACTCTTTTAAATTTAAAACACATCTGCAAGCAGTCCTCCAGTGTAAGACCTCTGGTAAAGACTCTGTTCTAAACTAGAACAAATATAATTGAAATCTGAAGACTTGGAGTCGGGGTCCTGATTTAACCTTTCATAGTGTTAGTCTCTCATTTACAAAATGAGAATTATATTAGATAATACTTGCAAAACATCATTATAATGAATATAAATGCTCACCAAATGCTCTACTACCAGAAAATGCAAATATATACACTATCTGCAAATATATATTTCTATCACATACTCAATACTGACTTCAAAAAACTGTTATTGCCCTGAACACTCAACACAATATTCTATCACATACAGGAAAAGAACATGATGTCATGGAAAGATAATAAAGTATGGAGTCAGATAGACCTGGGTCTTGAATCCTGGCTATATAACCTAAAGCTCTGAGCTCTAGCTAGTTTCTTTATCTTTAAATGCAGATCACATCTATAGATAAGATTAATGAAATAGTACTAGTAAATTAATGCTAGTGAAGTATCCATTCATTAATGTTAACCTCCTCCCTTCCAACAAGTGACCACATAGAAAACTCTACTTAGAACTACTGAACACAATGATCATTGCAACACTTCACTCTTTTAAAAAGTGAAAAGATATGGGGCGCCTGGGTGGCTTAGTCGGTTAAGCGTCCGACTTTCGCTTAGGTCATGATCTCGCGGTTCGTGGGTTCGGGCCCCGCGTCAGGCTCTGTGCTGACTGCCAGCTCAGAGCCTGGAGCCTGTTTCAGTCTGTGACTCCCTCTCTCTCTGACCCTCCCCTGCTCACGCTGTCTCTCTCTCTCCTAGAAATAAATAAAACATTAAAAAAAAAATTAAAAAAAAAAAAAGTGAAAAGATAGGGGCACATAGGTGGCTCAGTTGGTTAAGCATGTGACTTCAGTTTAGGTCATGATTTCATAGGTCATGAGTTCAAGCCCTGTATTGGGCTTTCTCCTGTCAGCATAGAGCCTGCTTCAGATCTTCTGTCCCTTTCTCTCTCTCTCTCTCTGCCCCGTCCCAATTTGTGCACATGCCTGTGCTCTCTCTCTCTCTCAAAAATAAATAAAATAATAAAATACAATACAATAAAATTTAAAAATTAAACAAAAAGAAATTAAGGACCTTTCTACACCAAATAAGTACTAATTCACTTTAAAGCTTCAGAGTTATGTACCAAATACCATAACTGCTACTTTGTCTAATTATTTTAACAGACATTTATAACCTATACAATTAGTGCTTTAAGTAAGTGATTACTTTCTATTTCTTCATTTGGTTATTTTCAGAAGCTTTTCTCTTTTCCTTTAAAAACCTCTAATACGTCAAGTATGTTAGGTCTGTTTCTATTAAAAAATTTTTTTTAATTAAAAAAAGTCCTAAATTATTCTCTTGAATGTGCTGGTTTCCACAATTAAAAAAAAGTTCAGTCCATGAGGAATGCCCAAGTAACAATATCTAGAAGATACATTAACTAATAGTCTTTTTTTCATTTAAGAATCCACAAAATGACACAGTGAGGAAACAACACTCCAAGTAAGATAAAATGCCAGAAATAGTGGGCTGTACTTACGAAACAAACTTTCCTACTTCCACTTGCAGTATTGGATCTCGTAGATGCACTTCTAGAAGCATATCTTCAGCTTGAGCTCCATCTCCTGTTTTTACAGGATGAGGGTTAAAGATTCTTAGGTATCCCATAAAGCTACCCACAATTATTTTATCTGTGGAGAGATTTTTTTTTAAAAGATATAAGAAGAAACAAACATTAACAACAAAATCTCTTTGAAAATAAACTTTCTAATGTCTAAAAGAAAAGCTTAAAAATTAAACAATCAAGTCTTGCTTCATATACAGTAGCCAATCTGCCAAAAGAGATGCAATGAAAATGAACTTATATTAATAATGTAGTTTTTCAATAAGAGCTTTTTTTATATCACCAATATTTACACATACTAACATGTTACATGTTTTTCCTAATACTTGCTTTGGTGTCAGTGTTTATAATTTAACTCAGTCAAAGCAAATCCTTTTACAAAAGATTAGTAAGGTTATAAACGGATTTCATCATAGAGCATCAACTCTACAGCTGGGTGTAAAACAGATTCGGAGGCCTCACTAGGTATAGTGCTCTGATTAACAATGTCTACACTTGGGGCGCCTGGGTGGCTTAGTCGGTTAAGCATCCGACTTTCGCTTAGGTCATGATCTCACGGTTCGTGGGTTCGAGCCCCACGTCAGGCTCTGTGCTGACTGCCAGCTCAGAGCCTGGAGCCTATTTCAGAGTCTGTATCTCCCTCTCTGACCCTCCCCTGCTCAAGCTGTCTCTCTCTCTCCTAGAAATAAAAAATAATAATAAAAAATAAATGTCCTATAATGTGTTTATTAAACTCGAGTCTTTTTTGGGGTGCCTGGGTGGCTCAGTCAGATAAGCATCAACTTCAGCTCAGGTCATGATATCACGGTTTGTGTCAGCTGTGCTGACAGCTCAGAGCCTGGAGCCTGCTTCAGATTCTGTGTCTCCCTCTCTCTCTGCTCCGACCCCACTCACGCTCATTCGCTCACTCTCTCTCACTCTCAAAATAAATAAACTCGAGTCTTTTTTTTTTTTTGAAATCTATAATAATATTTTAGGTCTATGAAAAAGAGGACTAACTCAAGCCACCATACATATAGACACTCATGGCCTCTTACTCATTTCCACACTTAAGTCCATTTACAGACTCACAGCCCCTTGAATAAAGACAACACAGTGTTTAGATGCTGCTGTAACACCACACATGCCTAATATAAATTTTCCTCAGATCTTTCCCTATGGGACCAAGAGTTATTTAAATTTCAGGCACACTGAGGAAAGGGAAATACCCAAACTGTGTGAGAATACTGAATATTGGCTCAAGTTACTACTAACTCTCAAAGCCCAGAAATATACTATTGTTGCTAATTATGGAGACTTAGTAATAAATGAATTTTTTAACTTAGTTCAACCAGTGAGAGCAAAGCCAGCCTATGATTTCTGAGAGTTTAAAGGAAATGTATTTCGGGTACCTGGGTGGCTCAGCTGATTGAGCATCCGACTTCGGCTCAGGTCGTGATCTCATGGCTCATGAGTTCAAGCCCTGGGTCGGGCTCTGTGCTGACAGTTCAGAGCCTGGAGCCTGCTTCAGATTCTGTGTCTCCCTCTCTCTCTCTACCCCTCCCTCAATTGCACTCTGTCTCTCTCTCACTCTCTCAAAAATAAACATTAAAATCTTTTTTAATTTTAAATAAAGTAAATGTATTTCCACAGAAAATAGTAGAACATCCATTTGGTTCCCTAACATTTACATGACAGATACTATATTGGGACAGCTGTATGAAAACCAGTGGAACTCTATCTCCCGTTAGGGAGAAAATAAAAAACAAAAAACAAAAAACAAAACAAAAAAACCACTCCTAGGCTTCATTTGGGGTAGTTTCCAAAATTTAATGCCAAAAAGCTTCAATATGCATATGTGGTAATTCCTATCATATCCATGTTTAATAAGCAATGTGCCAATATTGAAGCCTAATGGATCTTTCTTTTTAATAGTTTATTGTCAGGTTGGTTTCCATATAACACTCAGTGCTAATCCCCACAAATGCCCACCTCCATGCCCATCACCCCCCTTCCCCCTCCCCCTCCCCCCCATCTGCCCCCAGTTTGTTCTCGGCATTCAAGAATCTCTCATGGTTTGCCTTCCTCACTCTCCTCCACTATTTCCCCCCTTCTTCTCCCCCATGGTCCTTCATTAAGTTCCTCCTAATCCTCCTATATGTGCAAACATATGGTATTTGTCCTTCTCTGCCTGACTTATTTCGCTCAGCATAACACCCTCAAGGTCCATCCATGTTGCTACACATGGCCAGATTTCATGGTTTCTCATTGCCATGTAGTATTCCATGGTATAGATAAACCACATCTTCTTGATCCATTCGTCCGTTGATGGACACTTAGGCTCTTTCCATGTTTTGTGAAGCCTAATGGGTCTTATAGAAAGAGTTAGGGTTGATCGGTATAATTTAAAGGGCAATCCTAAATTCTTCTATTATTCCACATCATATCTTTTCTCGGAGCCAACTGATACAACCCATCTGCTTGAATACAGTTCTAGATCTTAATAATGCACTTTTTCCTTTCCAATAAACAGAGGCCAACAGAAACAGTTGACTCTCACCGGACGAAAAGAGGCATATCTCTTTAAATGTACACTATAATCCAATCTGCAGGAACCAGGCCTACCTCATCACCTCTTAAGGGCCAAATAGGGCTGAAAGAAATCTTAGTGAAACCCAGGAAACTCCAAGGACCCTCCCTATACTATCTGGAGCAGCAGTAAATGAAACTACTACAATTCTCTTCAGGCAAGTATTAGCATTCTAGATCCCTCAGGAATGAAGGCCTACACCAGTTATCTGGTTCCTTCATCTCCACTCAAGACCAAGAGCCCTAATCAGCTGGTCAAAGTTTAAAAAAAAAAAAAAAATAGCATAGTTACATAGCCTGGTGACCAGATATAAAACAGAAGGTATTCCCCAATACAACTTCTTTAAGTTACCATACAATTTTTTCTACTCCTTACTCTTAATTTTCAAAATTTTTCTTTCTCATATATATTTTTTTTTCTTTCTCTTCTATAGGTTTTGAACAGAGATTGTACATACACACCACTGAGTCTAGAGGCAGCAGAATACTGGAACATGATAACGACTAAATTACAAGAGAAAGGTATTATCACCCAAAGATCCTGGACTTTTGCACAGCCAGGGCTCCGTGAAAGTGCCTTTGAAGCAGTAGGTGCGCATGGTTATCTCCCACTGCAGATGGGTAAGAATACAAGGTTGTGCAGTTTTACAGGGCCAGCTGCCACCGGGAGGTATAAATGCTGAGTAGCCAAAAGATAAACATAGTAGCTATTTTTCAGTCAGCCCTGGGAGTTTTCTACTCAGGATTCCTGTAGTAAACTCTCCCTCCAGGCCACAAGTTGGCATGAAACCAAACTGGCCCACTCAGTCTCCTTCTCACCCCACTCTCACTACCTCTCTCATGAGTTGGCATCTTGAATTAAGAAAAACAGGAAGTACATGCCACTTTAAATGCATGGTGTCCTATTTCAACTGGGATCTCAAGATTAGTAAAGAATCCTTCTATGTATCAAGTTGGCTTTGCCTAAAATGATTTAAAGATCCCTAATACCATCTTTTCACTCTTTGATCACTCCAAAGAAAGTAGGGGTCATTACTGTTTCAACTTCCCAACCTGACCTGCAAATTTCTCTTCATCTGTATCCATTCTTACCCTCTTGCCTTCTGTCACAGTGGGAAAAAAAGTGCTCACATGTGTTTAAGGATAACTCCTCCATCTGCACACCTGATCTCATCTCTGACTATCTTCTCTGAATCCCTGCTCTATTTTTTTTAAGATTTTATTTTTAAGTAATCTCTACACTCAGTGTGGAGCTCAAACCTACAATCCCCAGATTAAGGGTCACATGCTCCACCTATAGAGCCAGCCAGGTGCCCCATCCCTGCTCTATTATATCCACTATGCTATACACTGAATTTTTCCCACTTCTCTTTACCCAGTGTTGCCCCCAGTTATCATCCTCCCTTCTTCCCTTCACAGCTAAGTTTCTTTAAAGACCCATAAACACTCAGTCTTCCCTACCTCCCACTCCTCTTACTACAAATCTAGATTTTGTTACCATTGTGCCCACTCATCCGCCCTCACCAAGAACACTAATGAACTACTTGCTATTAAATGGCATGGAAAGTTCAGTCTTCATGTCACTAAACCTTGCCTCCCAGGTACGAGCCCAAATTGTTCTCCTTCCTCTCTGCCTGCCTCTCCCAGAATCTATTACTATCTACCCTTCCCAAACCTCCCATTTAATGCTTGTATGCTAAAGATTATGGTCCTAATGTTCCTTCCCCTATTCCCAGGGCTTCAAATACAATCAGCATATGGCTCACTTCCAAATCACTACCTCTATTCTGCCTACAAGACATTCCTTTCTCAAACACAGCATATCCCAAACCGCTCTCATTTACCTTCCACTCCATGAGATCAACAACAATTATTCAACTGTAGTGTGCCACCATTCAACATTGGAGTTGTCAAAAATGCAGATACCTACTACCTCCCTGTAATCCACCTCCCTCCAGGAAACATGACTTTATAGGATTTTATATATCTGAGAGAAAATCTTCATATATAATAATCACCCCCAGAATATGATGATGCTGGTGGTCTAAGCTTTGAGAAATAATGATCGGGAATTTTTTTTAATTTATGGGGCACACACAGGAAATTATTTTTGTATAGTATCCTTGGGAAAACAGAGGAAGCTTCTCACAGCTGGCCACGAACTGGGAGAAAGCAAACTAGTAACTGGTAACCAACTGGTGGCACTCCAGTGAACAGCTCTAAAAGAAATGATGAGTGAACAGTAGCCTATTCAGACAATCAATCAGGATAGTTTCCAACAAGGTTGAGCTTCAGATAATTTGGGCATAAATGAGTTTGAAATTGTTCTCTTTGGCATCTATTTTGGTAGTCTGAGCATTCTATGCTGCCAAATAACAAGGGAATCATAAGTTTTAACAAACAGGCAGGAAATAAGATTCATAATGTTTGAGGAAACTCTCAGGACACCCTCTGAGTAGAAGACTTTCCCATCGCCTATCAGTGGAAGGGCAGGGCCCAGATTTTCCTTAGAAAATAATTTGGATTCTCAGTACAGCTTAGTACCTCCCATTCTTCTTTGCCAATGTAATTTTCTTCTGTCATGGGAAAAAAGGAGGAGAGAGGGAAACAAACCACAAAAGACTCTTAACAATAGAGAACAAACTGAGGATTAGTGGAGGGAGGGAGGTGGGAGACAGCTTAGATGGGTGGTGGGTATTAAAGAAGGCACTTTTGGGGAAGAGCACTGGGTATTGTATATAAGTGATGAATCACTGAATTCTACTCCTGAAACAAATATTGCACTGTATGCTAACTAAAATGTAAATTTAAAAAAATGTTTTTCTCCTTTCACTTTGTCCCCAAGATTCTATTGTTTTTGTTATAGGATAGAGAAATAAAGAAAAATGTAAGGGGACAATATTTATAAACACTGAACAAAAGAATGATTATAAGTTTGCTTTTTAAGAGGCCAATGACTATCTGGATTACAAAAAAGAGAAGAAAAGCTCATGACTATAATCATTAAAACAGGGGCACCTGGCTGGCTCAATCAAATGAGCATCCGACTCTTAATTTAGGCTCGGGCCATGATCTGGTGGTTATGGGATCAAGCCCCATAGCAGGCTCCACATAGCATGGAGCCTGCTTAAGATTCTCTCTCCCTCTGCCCCTCTCCTCAGCTCATGCTCCACTCCCTCTCTAAAAATAATAAAAATAATAATAATAATACAATTTCCAAATAGCAATGACATAGACCTGAAATGTTTTAAAGACTACTTAAAAAAATATGAAGATGCAAAGAGGAGCAAATCAATATAAGAATAAGATAGAATGCTATTTCCAGTATCATAATATGAAAATGAAAGCAATGATTTAATTATTTTTTCTACCAACCAATAGAGCTAGAATAATTTTTCCACTCTGGTATAAATGGCTTTAAGATTCAGTTTTTAGAAAATATAATTTTCTGAGGCACCTGGATGGCTCAGTCGATTGGATCTCCAACTTACACTCAGGTCATGATCTTGTGGTTTGTAAGACTGAGCCCTACATCGGGCTCTAGAGCTCAGAGCCTGGAGCCTGCTTCGGATTCTGTGTGTGTCTCTCTCTCTGCCCCTCCCCAACTTGTGCTCTGTCTCCATCTCTCAAAAATAAATAAACATTAAAAATATATATATATATATAATTTCCCTTAAAAACAATTTCTAAAAAGTTTCAAAATTTAAAATATTTTGGGGCACCTGGTGGTTCAGTCCATTAAGTGTCTGACTCTGGATTCTGGCTCAGTTCATAATCTCATAGTTCGTGGAATTAAACCCCATGTTGGTCTTCTGTGCTGACAGCATGGAGCCTGCTTGGGATTCTCTCTCTCCCCTTTTTTGCTCCTCTGCCTCCTTTCCCTCTCTCTCAAGACAAATAAATAAACTTCAAAAATAGATAAATAAAAATATTTTACTGGCTCTACTTCCAAATAATATGACAGAATCAACACAAAACAAAACAAAACAAAAAACAAACAAACAAGCAAAAACCAAAGGGCAAAACAGAAGTAAAAACTATCTTTACTAGCCTGCTACCTAAGTATTACTTATAAGGAAAACTACCTTCAAAATTAGGGCATAATTAAGGAAACAACCCAGAAAATTAATAGGCAACCAACGGAATGGGAAAAGATAGTTGCAAATAACATATCAGATAAAGGGTTAATATCCAGAATCTATAAGGAACTCACCAAACTACACGCCCGAAAAACAAACAACCCAGTGAAGAAATGGGCAGAAGACATGAACAGACACTTCTCCAAAGAGGACATCCAGATGGCCAACAGACACATGAAACGATGCTCAGCATCCCTCCTCATCAGGGAA